CCCCTGTAACCCCTTCACTGCCAGAGCCTGTGACACCCCCCTGTAACCCCTTCACTGCCAGAGCCTGTGACACCCCCTGTAACCCCTGCACTGCCAGAGCCTGTGACACCCCCTGTAACCCCTTCACTGCCAGAGCCTGTGACCTCCCCTGTAACCCCTTCACTGCCAGAGCCTGTGACACCCCCCTGAGGGGATGCAGTTGGGGGTCTCACTTACCTCTGCTGCAGTACAGTGCGGTCACTGTTGTACAATGAGGGGTTGGAGAGCGCCCCCTGGGGGCGGCCGGAGATCTGGGACGCGTTTCACTGCCAGAGCCTGTGACACCCCCTGTAACCCCTGCACTGCCAGAGCCTGTGACACCCCCTGTAACCCCTTCACTGCCAGAGCCTGTGACCTCCCCTGTAACCCCTTCACTGCCAGAGCCTGTGACACCCCCCTGAGGGGATGCAGTTGGGGGTCTCACTTACCTCTGCTGCAGGACGGTGCGGTCACTGTTGTACAATGAGGGGTTGGAGAGCGCCCCCTGGGGGCGGCCGGAGATCTGGGACGCGGAGAGGGACGCCAGCACACTGGCTGCTGCACAAGCCGTGGTCGTTGGTTGTGCAAATCGGCGATCGCGGGTGGGCAATCCGCTGGAGGTCAGCGCCGGATGGATGAGGACACTGGCCAGCAGGTTATCAGGCTACGGAGAAAGAGGAAGAACGTGAGATGGGAACAAACTATGGGAGGAGGAAGAAGGAGGAAGAAGGAGGAAGAGGGAGGAAGAGGGAGGAAGAGGGAGGAAGAAGGAGGAAGAAGGAGGAAGAGGAAGGAAGAGGAAGGAGGAGGAGAAGAAGAAGAGGAAGATGATGGAGGAGGAGAGGAAGAAGGGAGGAGAGGAAGAAGAGGAAGATGGAGGAGGAGAGGAAGGAGGAGGAGAGGAAGGAGGAGGAAGGAGGAGGAGAGGAGGAAGATGATGGAGGAGGAGAGGAAGGCAGGAGGAGGAGAGGAAGGAGGAGGAGGAGAGGAAGAGGAGGAGGAGAGGAAGAGGAGGAGGAGAGGAAGAGGAGGAGGAGAGGAAGGAGGAGGCAGAGGAGAGGAAGGAGGAGGCAGAGGAGAGGAAGGAGGAGGCAGAGGAGAGGAAGGAGGAGGCAGAGGAGAGGAAGGAGGAGGCAGAGGAGAGGAAGGAGGAGGCAGAGGAGAGGAAGGAGGAGGCAGAGGAGAGGAAGGAGGAGGCAGAGGAGAGGAAGGAGGAGGCAGAGGAGAGGAAGGAGGAGGCAGAGGAGAGGAAGGAGGAGGCAGAGGAGAGGAAGGAGGAGGCAGAGGAGAGGAAGGAGGAGGCAGAGGAGAGGAAGGAGGAGGCAGAGGAGAGGAAGGAGGAGGCAGAGGAGAGGAAGGAGGAGGCAGAGGAGAGGAAGGAGGAGGCAGAGGAGAGGAAGGAGGAGGCAGAGGAGAGGAAGGAGGAGGCAGAGGAGAGGAAGGAGGAGGCAGAGGAGAGGAAGGAGGAGGCAGAGGAGAGGAAGGAGGAGGCAGAGGAGAGGAAGGAGGAGGCAGAGGAGAGGAAGGAGGAGGCAGAGGAGAGGAAGGAGGAGGCAGAGGAGAGGAAGGAGGAGGCAGAGGAGAGGAAGGAGGAGGCAGAGGAGAGGAAGGAGGAGGCAGAGGAGAGGAAGGAGGAGGCAGAGGAGAGGAAGGAGGAGGCAGAGGAGAGGAAGGAGGAGGCAGAGGAGAGGAAGGAGGAGGCAGAGGAGAGGAAGGAGGAGGCAGAGGAGAGGAAGGAGGAGGCAGAGGAGAGGAAGGAGGAGGCAGAGGAGAGGAAGGAGGAGGCAGAGGAGAGGAAGGAGGAGGCAGAGGAGAGGAAGGAGGAGGCAGAGGAGAGGAAGGAGGAGGCAGAGGAGAGGAAGGAGGAGGCAGAGGAGAGGAAGGAGGAGGCAGAGGAGAGGAAGGAGGAGGCAGAGGAGAGGAAGGAGGAGGCAGAGGAGAGGAAGGAGGAGGCAGAGGAGAGGAAGGAGGAGGCAGAGGAGAGGAAGGAGGAGGCAGAGGAGAGGAAGGAGGAGGCAGAGGAGAGGAAGGAGGAGGCAGAGGAGAGGAAGGAGGAGGCAGAGGAGAGGAAGGAGGAGGCAGAGGAGAGGAAGGAGGAGGCAGAGGAGAGGAAGGAGGAGGCAGAGGAGAGGAAGGAGGAGGCAGAGGAGAGGAAGGAGGAGGCAGAGGAGAGGAAGGAGGAGGCAGAGGAGAGGAAGGAGGAGGCAGAGGAGAGGAAGGAGGAGGCAGAGGAGAGGAAGGAGGAGGCAGAGGAGAGGAAGGAGGAGGCAGAGGAGAGGAAGGAGGAGGCAGAGGAGAGGAAGGAGGAGGCAGAGGAGAGGAAGGAGGAGGCAGAGGAGAGGAAGGAGGAGGCAGAGGAGAGGAAGGAGGAGGCAGAGGAGAGGAAGGAGGAGGCAGAGGAGAGGAAGGAGGAGGCAGAGGAGAGGAAGGAGGAGGCAGAGGAGAGGAAGGAGGAGGCAGAGGAGAGGAAGGAGGAGGCAGAGGAGAGGAAGGAGGAGGCAGAGGAGAGGAAGGAGGAGGCAGAGGAGAGGAAGGAGGAGGCAGAGGAGAGGAAGGAGGAGGCAGAGGAGAGGAAGGAGGAGGCAGAGGAGAGGAAGGAGGAGGCAGAGGAGAGGAAGGAGGAGGCAGAGGAGAGGAAGGAGGAGGCAGAGGAGAGGAAGGAGGAGGCAGAGGAGAGGAAGGAGGAGGCAGAGGAGAGGAAGGAGGAGGCAGAGGAGAGGAAGGAGGAGGCAGAGGAGAGGAAGGAGGAGGCAGAGGAGAGGAAGGAGGAGGCAGAGGAGAGGAAGGAGGAGGCAGAGGAGAGGAAGGAGGAGGCAGAGGAGAGGAAGGAGGAGGCAGAGGAGAGGAAGGAGGAGGCAGAGGAGAGGAAGGAGGAGGCAGAGGAGAGGAAGGAGGAGGCAGAGGAGAGGAAGGAGGAGGCAGAGGAGAGGAAGGAGGAGGCAGAGGAGAGGAAGGAGGAGGCAGAGGAGAGGAAGGAGGAGGCAGAGGAGAGGAAGGAGGAGGCAGAGGAGAGGAAGGAGGAGGCAGAGGAGAGGAAGGAGGAGGCAGAGGAGAGGAAGGAGGAGGCAGAGGAGAGGAAGGAGGAGGCAGAGGAGAGGAAGGAGGAGGCAGAGGAGAGGAAGGAGGAGGCAGAGGAGAGGAAGGAGGAGGCAGAGGAGAGGAAGGAGGAGGCAGAGGAGAGGAAGGAGGAGGCAGAGGAGAGGAAGGAGGAGGCAGAGGAGAGGAAGGAGGAGGCAGAGGAGAGGAAGGAGGAGGCAGAGGAGAGGAAGGAGGAGGCAGAGGAGAGGAAGGAGGAGGCAGAGGAGAGGAAGGAGGAGGCAGAGGAGAGGAAGGAGGAGGCAGAGGAGAGGAAGGAGGAGGCAGAGGAGAGGAAGGAGGAGGCAGAGGAGAGGAAGGAGGAGGCAGAGGAGAGGAAGGAGGAGGCAGAGGAGAGGAAGGAGGAGGCAGAGGAGAGGAAGGAGGAGGCAGAGGAGAGGAAGGAGGAGGCAGAGGAGAGGAAGGAGGAGGCAGAGGAGAGGAAGGAGGAGGCAGAGGAGAGGAAGGAGGAGGCAGAGGAGAGGAAGGAGGAGGCAGAGGAGAGGAAGGAGGAGGCAGAGGAGAGGAAGGAGGAGGCAGAGGAGAGGAAGGAGGAGGCAGAGGAGAGGAAGGAGGAGGCAGAGGAGAGGAAGGAGGAGGCAGAGGAGAGGAAGGAGGAGGCAGAGGAGAGGAAGGAGGAGGCAGAGGAGAGGAAGGAGGAGGCAGAGGAGAGGAAGGAGGAGGCAGAGGAGAGGAAGGAGGAGGCAGAGGAGAGGAAGGAGGAGGCAGAGGAGAGGAAGGAGGAGGCAGAGGAGAGGAAGGAGGAGGCAGAGGAGAGGAAGGAGGAGGCAGAGGAGAGGAAGGAGGAGGCAGAGGAGAGGAAGGAGGAGGCAGAGGAGAGGAAGGAGGAGGCAGAGGAGAGGAAGGAGGAGGCAGAGGAGAGGAAGGAGGAGGCAGAGGAGAGGAAGGAGGAGGCAGAGGAGAGGAAGGAGGAGGCAGAGGAGAGGAAGGAGGAGGCAGAGGAGAGGAAGGAGGAGGCAGAGGAGAGGAAGGAGGAGGCAGAGGAGAGGAAGGAGGAGGCAGAGGAGAGGAAGGAGGAGGCAGAGGAGAGGAAGGAGGAGGCAGAGGAGAGGAAGGAGGAGGCAGAGGAGAGGAAGGAGGAGGCAGAGGAGAGGAAGGAGGAGGCAGAGGAGAGGAAGGAGGAGGCAGAGGAGAGGAAGGAGGAGGCAGAGGAGAGGAAGGAGGAGGCAGAGGAGAGGAAGGAGGAGGCAGAGGAGAGGAAGGAGGAGGCAGAGGAGAGGAAGGAGGAGGCAGAGGAGAGGAAGGAGGAGGCAGAGGAGAGGAAGGAGGAGGCAGAGGAGAGGAAGGAGGAGGCAGAGGAGAGGAAGGAGGAGGCAGAGGAGAGGAAGGAGGAGGCAGAGGAGAGGAAGGAGGAGGCAGAGGAGAGGAAGGAGGAGGCAGAGGAGAGGAAGGAGGAGGCAGAGGAGAGGAAGGAGGAGGCAGAGGAGAGGAAGGAGGAGGCAGAGGAGAGGAAGGAGGAGGCAGAGGAGAGGAAGGAGGAGGCAGAGGAGAGGAAGGAGGAGGCAGAGGAGAGGAAGGAGGAGGCAGAGGAGAGGAAGGAGGAGGCAGAGGAGAGGAAGGAGGAGGCAGAGGAGAGGAAGGAGGAGGCAGAGGAGAGGAAGGAGGAGGCAGAGGAGAGGAAGGAGGAGGCAGAGGAGAGGAAGGAGGAGGCAGAGGAGAGGAAGGAGGAGGCAGAGGAGAGGAAGGAGGAGGCAGAGGAGAGGAAGGAGGAGGCAGAGGAGAGGAAGGAGGAGGCAGAGGAGAGGAAGGAGGAGGCAGAGGAGAGGAAGGAGGAGGCAGAGGAGAGGAAGGAGGAGGCAGAGGAGAGGAAGGAGGAGGCAGAGGAGAGGAAGGAGGAGGCAGAGGAGAGGAAGGAGGAGGCAGAGGAGAGGAAGGAGGAGGCAGAGGAGAGGAAGGAGGAGGCAGAGGAGAGGAAGGAGGAGGCAGAGGAGAGGAAGGAGGAGGCAGAGGAGAGGAAGGAGGAGGCAGAGGAGAGGAAGGAGGAGGCAGAGGAGAGGAAGGAGGAGGCAGAGGAGAGGAAGGAGGAGGCAGAGGAGAGGAAGGAGGAGGCAGAGGAGAGGAAGGAGGAGGCAGAGGAGAGGAAGGAGGAGGCAGAGGAGAGGAAGGAGGAGGCAGAGGAGAGGAAGGAGGAGGCAGAGGAGAGGAAGGAGGAGGCAGAGGAGAGGAAGGAGGAGGCAGAGGAGAGGAAGGAGGAGGCAGAGGAGAGGAAGGAGGAGGCAGAGGAGAGGAAGGAGGAGGCAGAGGAGAGGAAGGAGGAGGCAGAGGAGAGGAAGGAGGAGGCAGAGGAGAGGAAGGAGGAGGCAGAGGAGAGGAAGGAGGAGGCAGAGGAGAGGAAGGAGGAGGCAGAGGAGAGGAAGGAGGAGGCAGAGGAGAGGAAGGAGGAGGCAGAGGAGAGGAAGGAGGAGGCAGAGGAGAGGAAGGAGGAGGCAGAGGAGAGGAAGGAGGAGGCAGAGGAGAGGAAGGAGGAGGCAGAGGAGAGGAAGGAGGAGGCAGAGGAGAGGAAGGAGGAGGCAGAGGAGAGGAAGGAGGAGGCAGAGGAGAGGAAGGAGGAGGCAGAGGAGAGGAAGGAGGAGGCAGAGGAGAGGAAGGAGGAGGCAGAGGAGAGGAAGGAGGAGGCAGAGGAGAGGAAGGAGGAGGAGGAGGAGAAGAAGAAGAGGAAGATGATGGAGGAGGAGAGGAAGAAGGGAGGAGAGGAAGAAGAGGAAGATGGAGGAGGAGAGGAAGGAGGAGGAGAGGAAGGAGGAGGA